TGCACGACAATGAGTATCCCCCCCCCCCCTCCAAACCCTCACTCTTAGATGGGAGTACTGTCGACCTCGGTCACATCCGAGTTGTGCATTTCGCTCTGCATTTGTTGTTGTCGCCTTCACATTTAAACAACAGTCTGGTCCTCCGCTCAGTGCCTTCTAATATCCGTACTGGTCCAACTGACGCAGACGCCTTCCGTGGTCACACCCCAACTATCCCCAACACGAGGTACACCTTTCTGAAAATGAAAGAAAATGCTGCACCGAAAAAACAAATACTTGACAATGGATGACCTTACCTGTCTCCCCGGTCATGGTGTACTTGACGGATCCACACCGCTGCGTGCGGTGGATGATCTTCGCGAGCCCGAAGTCCATGAGCTTGGCCTGGCCGTCCGCGGCGAAGCCGATGTTGTCGGGCTTCAGGTCCCGGTGCATGAGGATGATGCCCGGCAGGCCGCCGTCATGCATGTACGACAGTGCCGACGCCAGCTGCAGGCCGTACTTGACGGCCGGCCCTACTCCGAGACCACCGCCGCACTTGTCCAGGCGGCCTCGCAGAGTGCCCATCGACAGGTACTCGAGTACGATGAAGCTCGCCCCCGTGTGGGTGGTCCCACCTCCCAGGATGCCGACGATGTTGGGGTGGTGGAGCTCCCGCAGCACGAGGGACTCGACAACCAGGTCGTTCTCGGACATCTGCTGGTTGGGGCCCTCGCTGGGGGTCTTGATGATCACGCCGTGCTCCCTGGCGCTCTCGAAGGCAGGGCTGAACCTGCTGCAGCTACTGCTGCTGTCCGTCGAGGGCACGTCGCCCGCACCCCCGGGGACGTTCATGCTGGCGGGAATCTTGCGGGCCAGGAAGCACTGGCACATCGCGCCCTGTTTCGGACCGAGTGGTAACAATTTCCCTCGGTTATTGGTTGTGAATGTTGGAGGTAGATCAATATACAGAGAGGCAAAGGGAGCACAAGAAGATAGCGATGCGACTCGGTCGGTCCTAGGATTCGGTACCCGACCCTTCTTGCTGTAAAGAATGACACAACCGAGAAGGAGAGAGCAAAACAAGCAGGCGTGCTCCCAAGAAACACATGTGCAACCACCCGCCGTTGCTTGACTTCAAGAGGCAAGCAAGCCGCAGCCCATACCCTGCCCCCCCCCGCTCGTCGCACGCCTCCCTTCCCAAGTCGCCCTATGGTTGCGCAACAGCAGCACCCCCCACCTCTGCAAGGTAGCTGACCGAGTCCTGGTCGAAGTCATCGAGGCTCAGCTGCATGTTCGGGTTCCACGCTGGGCCTCCCGCCCCCTCCTCCCCTCTCAGTCGCGAGTAACAGCCGCTGCTGGAGTACCTCGATCCGCCGGACACGGACGTCCCCTGCGAGGACACAATGCCGCGCTTGAGCGGGGGAGCGTCGTCGGGCTCTTCGTCGCCCAAGTCTCCTTGCTCCGCTCCCTGCTCCTCGTCTTTGGCGCAGTTCGCGCTGTTTGCGGTGCCCCCCTCCTCCTGGGGGGCTTCTTGAGTGCAGCCGTCGCCGCCGTAGGCGGGCCCCGCCACGGGTACGAAGTTTCGCACGCTGCTCTGGTACTGTAGGTGTTCGGATTTCGTTTCACGTTTCGTTTGAGGTACATCAGTTTTCGTTGACCCGCAGGAAGAGGTGGGGAGGGGGGGGGGGCGGCGACAACACCACACGGGGAGGAAGGGAGGGGAGAGGGTAAAATGGTAACAAGCTCGCGAAAATTTCGAGACCAAGAGACGCAGGATAGCTTGGAGACCACCACACCGGAGCAGAGAGGCCCGTGTCCGACAAGAGACTATGCAGGTGACGGCATCACATTAAAAAAGTGCCTTCTACTAGCCAGGTGCCAAGCCACGTTTCGCCATTTGTGAAACTTCGTTGCATTCGCAGTCTTGGCGGTGTACTTGTTGCACTTTAGCATGCTGCGCAGAGGAACCAATGGGTTCATCAGGTACTACCGCCATGGATCAGGTCGCTCTAGGCAAAACATAATTACAAACATCACTTTCTATACGGAAGCCGAGTCGGCAAATTTCAGTAGTTTTACCAACAAGGGGGCCCACGGCTTGGGACATTGTGTACAGCAAGTCAGAGGCCCAGGAGAGGAACATAAGCATCACATAGCAGCATACCACACAGCGTACCACCTCATGCAAGCATGCTAGACCAAGGTGTCCTAGCACGTTTCACGCAGCGGAGCATAGTGACGACGACGGTGCGGTAAACAGGCAAATTTGAGTGCTGTGTCCCCAAAGTGTCCCCATTTGGGCTTCCAGTACTAGGGGGCGAAACGTATGGAGCATGTGTAACGGAAGTCACGCGATAAATTAAAAAAACGGCATCGTAGCAGAAGAAAATTAGCATGATCCGACAGGGCCCGAGAACAAGAACCGCTATCGTAAGAAAATCCACGACTTGGCCTGTTTATTAGGCCCACAGCAGGAAAAGATTCAGCCTCGAACAACAAGTAACTTGCCCGCCGCCGTACAATGATTTTACGAATAGATCTGCTCGTTATCTTTTTTACGAATACATGTGTAGATCAATCGCCCCCAATCAGGGACAAGGATGATGATGGTCCCCTTGGTACCAACTCCCCGCCCGGCCAAAAAGTGCATACCATGGTGGAGAATGCATTTGTTGGGTTGGGTTGGGTTGGGTTGGGTTGGGTTGGGGTTGGGTCACCGCCGTCGATCGCGCCGCCGTCGCTTCGTCGTTCATCGACGTTGGTTGGGTATAGCCGGTCGCGCTGGTGGTCTAGTTGGTATCCTCGAAACGTTCTTGAGGTCAGGTCAGGGGTTCGAATCCCGGCGTAAGCGAGCTTTTGTCGCAAACTGAGTTCTTCTCTCGCTTCCGCTCCTGGCCTAGTGGATAGCGCTAGTTCGTGTATACACAGAGGAAAGAGAGTGCTGAACTCTTCTCGCATTAAAAATCGAAGGCAAGGTACCGCAGGAGGGGAGGGTAGAGAGGGGCTATTCTGTGTGACCACGGGTTGGGGTAAACGGCACCAGTGCTGTGAGCGCTGATTTGAAGTGGAGACAAAAAAAAAAGTTGGGTCGGTCGGTCGGTCGATCGGTCGCCTTCGTCAATCGCGCCGCCGTCGCTCCGTCGATCGTCGCCGTCGGGTCGGCCTTGTGCATTTTTTTTTTTCTTAATATGACACAACGAATCCATCTCTATTTAAGACAAGAGTCCAAGACAGATTAGCAATGAATCCATAGCGTCAGTGAAGGCTACCTGTGTTTCCATGATTTCCCGGGCAGCATAGAGGGACATCTCCCCCGTGGGTAACAGGGTCAACAAGACAGTGTGGTAGCCGTTTTGTGCATCTATCTGCATGTTATGCTGGGAATGTACGGAAGGAAAGTGTTGGGTAGTTGGTTTGTCGGGTTTGCATTTTTTATTTCATCAACACGTATGACCAAACGAATCCATCTCTATCGAAAAAAATATTGCTATAATAGTCTAAGACACAAAAATTAGCAATCAATCCATATTCAGCGAAATGTAAAAGGGATGTTTGCCCGACACGAGATAAGGTGCCCCAACCCTTATTTACTGACACGTGGTGCCCACATTCCCCCCCGGATACGTAGACAAATACGCGGGTACCACGTGTCAGTAAATAAGAGCACCCCGACGCACCCCCCGTAACATGTACGGTAACCGGAACCCGACCGACTGGCGGCGGACGAAATCCCATTTTCACGTGCCCGGAATCGAACCCGGGACATTGATAATGTAGGGATGACATCCTGCCGCTGACGCCACTTGTAAAAAGGGAGTTTGCCCGACACGAAATAAGGTGCCCCAAGCCTTATATATACTAACATGTGGTGCCCACAGAAAGTGCATTTGTATTTCCGATTTTTTTTATGTGTCGCGTTCTCCGCAAAACACCTCTCTTTACATGTATAGTCCGTCCGGTTCAATTTTTCCACGATTGCCTAGAATCACTCGGGAATATATTGCGAGCGACTGACGTACCCCCTAATAATATACGTTATATCGTCAAAAAACTCTTTTTTAGGCGAATCGTTTGATCGGAGCAGATTTTTTTTTTTTTTGGTTGGCGAGAAAATCGCGATTCCGTCGAGATTTGCCAGATTTTGTTATATTTCAGTAGGGCGTGTGTGATGTCCACTTTTTTTTTTAAGACCGGTTTTGAGCGTATCACGCCGAGGGCTACGCGGCGACCCAACTCAACTTTGTATTCGCTGAGATACAACGGAGAAATGGGCAAAAAGACTCATTCCAGCTGGTCCCAGAGTTATGTTTTTAATGGTGAAACCAACCGATATATTTCGAAAAACTCGACGGATTCGGGCGAATTGGACCTGCACCCAGGACGTTTTTTTTGTTTTTGCTAACAAAAAATTTCTGAAAGAGTTATGGCCCATCAAAGTTTGGTGCCGCCACACACACCACACAACACACCACACACCACACGCTACAGCAGTCACATAGACCCCACTGAGGGCCCATCCAAGCCCATACATGGTTGGGCGTCCCCCCGGTAAACGAAACAAGAAGCGTGGCAGCTGCCAAACAAGAACAGGTGGTCGGTTCGGCGCGAAAGCGGCCGCGTCACCATCCCCCGCTGCGGACACTTCACCGCCACATGACCACCACGACACATGTTATGAAGGAGACGAGGAGGACCACAGCAGCAGCCAACACAGCAGCGACAGCAGTAGTCACTATGGCAGCTGCAGCTCGGGGAGCTCGGGCCGTGTCAAGCGTGATGGCACGAGCAAACGACAGCGCAGGCGCCGCCGGCAACAGCAGCGAGAAAAAGAAGAAAAGAGGGGCTTTCGCACTCTTTTTCAGATGTGGGCGCCGACTCCACCGCCTCCGCCCGGCAGCACTTTCGCCCCCACCTCTACAGAGACCGAAAGCAAGGTGGGACAGTTTGAGGACGGGGCGGTTGTGTTCGAGGTTGAGGGAGGTGGAGACGACGGTGACGAGCTCTGCAATTGGTTTGGACAAGATGCCATGGAGCAGGTGGATGTGTGTCTGGACGCGTGCAGTTCCGCGTCTGAGGGGCTCATCTTTGGGGGATACGCTGGCGACTCGGCTGACTGCACGTCGTCAGAAGAGTCTAACATGGAGTGGAGCGACGTGGAGCAGACGTTGGAGCAGACGCCGAAGCAGCCGTCGCAGGGAGCGTTGCAGAATCCCGATCGGTGCGCAGATCGAGATTCCGCCGCACAGCGGAAATCATGCCGCATCCAGCCGGCGGCTACTGCCGCGGCGCGGGCGCGGAAACCGCGGCCAAAGGGCTTGCCAGCTGGCCCAGGAAGAGGAAAGAAGGAGAAGCAATGTAACCCCAAGCGCAGGAGAGTGTCTCGCAAGGAGCAACGAAGGCGGGAGAGGAGGTCGAAGAAATCCGGGAGACGGCGCGCAGTGCGGGAAGCGGCGCGTTTGAAGGTGCAGCAAGAGCGGCTAGAGATCTTCGAACAGGCGAAGGGTATTCTTTTTCCGGTGAGCAGCGTTAGGAGTAGACACAACAATGGTGTTCATGACTACTGCTGTGTGGACTTTGCAGCTGTGATGTTGCCGCATCTGCTTTCATTTGTGGCAAGGGTGAAAAAATATCCCCAGCTTTGCCGACTCTCTCGTGTGTGAGTGTGTGTGTGAAGGCAGGGGCCTGTTTTGTGTCGTTTTGTGTGTAGTGACAGCAGGTGGTGCGTGCTTTCATGTGATCACAGCCCCATGAAGATATGCCTAGATAAAAACATGGGTGGTTGCGTTTTTTAATTTGAAAATTCACGCACATGTTCAAATTGGTGGGGCTGCTGCTGCTGTGCGTCACGTAAAGTTCTGTCGGTAAATATTCGCCTTGACGTGACAGCCCCCTCCCTGTACTGATTTGATCAGGCGGTCCGGCACTTCCGGCTGGAAAACATCGTGGAGAACCCGGACGAGGCGCTAGCAACCGACAACAAGAAGGGGTACGCCATGAGACAGGCGTCCGCCATCTTGACCTTCGTGTCGCTAGAGTAAGTTATGTTTTTCGCGTGTGTGATGGATGCGTGCTACAGCAGTGGGTACGCAAACAGTTTACAACCCGCTAAATTCCACGTTGTCGAATACGCATCCCCTGAATTAGTCACGACTATCTTGCCAAATGTGTTTGCGTTTGGCGGACCAGGATTGCTGATGGACTTCACCCCATCAAGCACAGCGAGGTTGCGGCGCTTCCGGTCGGCGTGACCGGTAAAGTGGTTCGGGCGTGGGTGCGTGATTTTGTCAACGGCAAGAGGTTCAAGGTTCGCGTGCGGGACTACGCTGCTCGCAACCTGCTCTCGGTAATCAACGACGAGGACTTTCGCGAAGAGTCGCGCGAGTGGCTGGACGCCAAGATATACGGCCGCAAGGAGGGGGAGCCGCAGCTACGTGTTCGGGACTTCCAGAAGTGAGTATGGAATGTAAACAACGTCATGGTTAGGATTCTATTTCAGAGTTTGTCGGTTGGCGATTAGCGATGCATGCTGGTGTCGAAACATTCCCACGATATGCAATAGATGTTTACATCCCAGGTCGTTGAAAGATATGCAGAAGAACCGTGTGTCGATTGTTGCACAGCAACTTATGTTGCACCATTATTTTTGATCAAAATCGCAGGCATCTCAACGACACCGCGCTCAAGCCTTACATGGAAGAGGGTGCGCGGGGAATCTCCCTCGACACGGTGCACAGATGGCTGCAGGACTTGGGCTTCCGTTGGCGGCGACACCGAAAGTGTGTCTACGCAGACGGTCACAACCGCCCCGACAACATCAGGAGGAGGATGGGTTACGTGACGGAGATGCAGGAGCACCAGAAGCGTACAGTCAAGTGCGTATTGAATTTGTGGTGTGATTGGGTCTGCAATGTTTCCGATTTCGTGTAAGGTTTCCACCGTGGAACCGACAACTTACTTTTTTTTCAAGTTTAGATGTCGTTCAAGTTTGAGCATTTACGCGAACATACAACCTTGCGCAGGGACCTCTTGTTTAATCTCTCGTCCCGCCACCTTGACCTGCAGGCTCGCAAAGATCGGTGAGGGCCCGGAAGCCGAGGAGGTTGCTCTTTGGCCTGCGGTGTTCGAGAGTGCGGGGGGCGATCCTCTGGGGGAAGGGAGCACATGGATGCACGTTCAGCTCGAAGGCGAGTGCGGCTGGGAGAAGCAGCATAACCTCAGGACGAGCGGAAAGCTCGAAGAGCTTCCGGTCGACGAGAGACTCGAGCTGTGGTGCACGGAGCGGCAGCGTGTTCCAGCCCAACCGCTGCCGCCCGGGTTTCGCTTGCTGGAACCGAGGGAGGTGATGGAGGTGGTGTACCACGACGAGTGCGCCTACAAGCAGAACGACAGCGGCGGGGCAGCGTGGGAGAACGATGAAAAGGGCGCAGCGATGAGCCCGAAAAACGAGGGCGCCGCTGTCATGGTGTCGGACTTGATCGGCGAGGAACGCGGGCAGCTGGACATCCCCGCTGAGGTGTACGCGATCATGCAGGAACACGGGACAATGCCGAAGGTATGTTGTATAGGAGTATCGTAAATATAGGTTGTATCTGGAGGGCTGACGTGGAATGTGGAGTGTGCCCCTGTTCCCGTCGATGAAAATTTACGAAATGTTTTCAATGCTCCCTCGAGCGAAATACTGAACATGCTGACTCTTGTCCACTCTGTGTTTTTTGTTTGTGGATGCCTGCTCCTATCCCACAGATGGAGATTACGGATGAAGGAGCTACGCTCTCCCGCAGCGACACCTACGTCGGGCGTTGCAAGCCGTGCGAAGAGTACCCCGACGGCATGAAGACGAAGAAGGTGTCTGATGCTGTTCACTCGCTCGAGCGCGTTCTTTCGGAGCTGAACATCGACTGCAAGGAATCTGGGCCCGAGTACAACCTTGCGCGCTCGGCCAGGATCATCCTCCGGGTCGGCAAGAACCTCGACGGATACTGGGATAGCAACCGCTTGTGCGTGCAGCTTGAGGTGAGGAGAGTCAACCTTTAGATATCTACAGAGCAACATTGTGTTTCGAGGTGGGTTCATGGCCCTCAGATTTTCTTCCCACGACCTGGCTTCTACATTCTGTTTCCAAACGAAACTCTGAGCCACGCGTCTCGCCAATACACATTTCCATCGCGCTCACGCTTTCATCGACAGGCCATATTCGCGGCGTTCGAGATCTCGAGGGAACCAGGCCGACAGATGCTCGCAGTCTTTGACAACTCCACCGGGCACAACGCATACAGCCCCGACGCCTTGAGGGCGCAGAACATCCGAGCCTCACCAGGGGGCGAGCAGATCCCCCCCCGCAACTTCGAGTACAACGGCAGAACGATCTACACGACGTTTCGGGAGGGCGACGTGCTGTGCTTCAGATCCAGCCCCTTCGCTCGAAAGACGGAGGCGGAGGCCGTGGGTGAGCTCCATCGTTGATTTAGGGACTTTTTTCTATGTAGACATATATCTATCTACTGCACTGCTGTAGAGAGTTGACGTGATTTTAGGAACTTTTTTTGTGCGAGGCTTAAAAAAAATACACCACGTGATACTCGAGCTTTCCCATCCCATCCAGTTTCGTAGATAGTGGCTATGGGTACGAAACAAATATCGCCTTTTCCCCTTCCTGCTCTTGTCTCCGTCAAACGTATGTAGCCAAGAAACGACACGGGAAAAGGTTGGGAGTGTTCCCGATAGGAACGGTTGTCAAACGGGGGACCAGCTCGGAGAAGCTGATTGGTGTCGCCAAGGGGATGAAGGAGATTCTGGAGGACATGGGGCTGTACAAGCTAGCCAGCGAAACGAAAGCGCCACCGCTGCTGTGCCAAAGGTGGGATCATTGGTTTTCGTTTCTGTTTCAGGGGCTAAATTGCCGGCGTGCCCTCCAAGCCTCGTTTGAAGTCGATGAACTATTCGAGGTGTGTTCTGCTTTTTCCCTTGAGCTCTATTCTGCTGCGATGCACCTGGACTCGCGGTAACCTATATTTACGTTTTCGGCGCCTCTTTTTTGCATGTCTCTGTCCTCTGTTTCTTTTTAAGGTGCAAAGACGAGGCTAAGGCCAAGCGGGACAAGTCAACGATGTACAACAAGGGGGGGGAGAGCCGGCAGCAGGCGCTCGAAGGCGAAGGAGACTCCGATGATTCGGACGAAGACAGCGAGGAAGGTGGTGCTCGCGATGCAGCCAGAACATCGAGAAGATGCTGCTGCCAGCGAATCATCAGCGAGGTCAAGGCCTTCAAGGAGCAGATGAATCGGGTCGAGGAGCTGTTCGAAGCTGCTGGGCACGCATGCATTTTCCTCGCCAAGTGAGTGAATTTTTTTGGGCGGAGATGTGTCTATGGGTAGAATATCTAGATATCTGCAATACGCGCATGTGGTTCGATTCTAATCGTATAATGCTGCTCAGACTCTTGCGCTAAGTTTCCTTCTCTGCTCTTGCGGGGTTTCCAGGTACCACCCGGAGCTCAATGCTATCGAGCGTTCCTGGGGCTACACCAAGTCTATCAAGCGCCGTGTCTGCGACTACTCCGTCCTGAGTCTGCTTGCAAGCCTTCCCATGACGCTGAGCTCTTTGTCACTGTGCCGAAAATGGGCCCGTGTTTCCTGGCTGTACATATATGCCTACAGCCACGGGCTTGAGGGCTACTTGCAAACCCGAGACCTCAAGAAGTGGACGAACCACCGCTCGCCCACCGACACGGCCGACAACGTGTTGCTGGCTCGTGGCCAAGCAACAACCGCGGAGGAGCGCAAGGCCAAAGAGCAGGCCGCCCTTGCCGCGGCCAAGGAGGCCAGAAAAAAGTCTAACGAGGCTGCCGATAAGATGTTGAAGCGTTTCGTAGCGGCAAAGCTCGCACCACCTCACTTCACCGGCAGCACCAGCCGGCGCGATGTTGTATCTGTGTAACCATATAGGTCGATAGATATTCTACCTTACATTTGCGTCCTGCTCCTTTATACTTTGATTTAAAAATTTTTACATGTGGTCTAAACCGACATGGTATATAGTATTCTAGATAGATAGAATATATAGGACACAACTTAGTGTAGATAGAATATATATCTATCAAGCGAAAAAGGCNCACCGGCAGCACCAGCCGGCGCGATGTTGTATCTGTGTAACCATATAGGTCGATAGATATTCTACCTTACATTTGCGTCCTGCTCCTTTATACTTTGATTTAAAAATTTTTACATGTGGTCTAAACCGACATGGTATATAGTATTCTAGATAGATAGAATATATAGGACACAACTTAGTGTAGATAGAATATATATCTATCAAGCGAAAAAGGCTGTTCTACTCGGCGCTGCCGAGCTAAGGGTGCAGGGCCCTGCCTGCGGGGCTGTACTCGGGGTAATACGTGCCGTTTCGGGACAATACGCGGCGTTTCGGGATAATTTCGGTGTAATTTTCGCCCCAAAACGGCCATTTTCACCAAAAAAAAAACTGACCCCGGATATCGATGCTTCTCGACCTTGCGGTTCTTCTCAACTTTTTTTCGCGTGTCAACTCTCAAAAACAAGCGAGAAAAAGTGGGGGTCATGTTGTGGAAAAATTTAACCGGACGGACTCTACAGTGCACACATGTGCGCAGGGCCGAAAAATTATTTGTACCCACAGGGACGCATATAGGCCATGCACCCACACCTTTTCTACCGACGGAAATCTTGACTGAGGAACGACCGTCACGAACATGTATGTATGCGTTTTTCTTGTTTCTTCAACCTGTCGCTGTACAAGTCTACAGGCAGGCAGGAGCGGTTTTCTGTCCCTCCATGCAGCAACTACATGAACCCGGGTAAATCCCTAACCCTAACCCTAACCCTAAAACCCCACACCGACCCAACAGGAGCTAGGTTGGCATTGGGTGGCTCAGTTCTAGGTTGTTGTGCCTGAGGGCTAGGCTAGCGCTGCGTGGCTCAGTTCTAGTTGGTGTGCCGGCATTGGGGCTAGATTGGTACTGGGCGGCTCAGTTCTAGGTTGGTGTGCCGGCAGTTGGCGCTAGGTTGGTATTGATGGGATGATCTCTAGGTTGGTATTGCATGGATAGGTGCTAGGTTGGTGTTCATGCGATCGACCTACGTTGGTATGGCTTGGACAGGTGCTACGTTGGTGTTGACGCGGGTAGGTGCTAGGTTTTGTGGCCCTAGGTCGCTCTTGGTTGGGTGGTTCTGTCGGTAAGAAACGGTGTGGGTGCATGGCTAATGTGCGTCCCCGTGGGTGTATCGAATATTTTTCCATGGAATGGCCCACATAAAGCCAACGAAGGAGCCCAGACTGGAGCTTGCAAATTCGTGAATCCAACTCTCAACACATCCACCGGTCGGTCCGATACCTGTTCTTTTCTTTCTATCAATTTGTTTCCTTTTTCCGAGTGGTTTGTACCCTCTCCCTTTCTTCCCCTCGCTGCCTCGGCAAGGTTTTGCGTAGGCATGACCCTTAGCGAGGGGGGGGGGCTTTCTAGCGGGCAGGGCTAGACTCACCCTCAAGGGACCGATACCTTCTTGCTGCGGCGCACCCGCCGCGAGGCGTGCGTAGTGGTGGAGTTGGGTCGGCACTGGTGCGTCAGGTACAAAGGTGCAGATGCGCGGGCCTCCAGGCCGTCGGTGTAGGCAGCAATGCCCATCTCATCTTTGTGCGCAGAGGCAGACGTCATCAGAAAGGTGGACGGACACTATGTACACGGCCCTAGGTTTGCTAGAGGGAGCTGTACTGTCGCAGTAACCTGATTTTGCCATCAAAGGAGGAGGGGACAGGCGGTGACGAGCTGATTGGGCTGGTTGATCCTTCGGCGCGAGAATTTTTAGACCAAGAACCCTAAGTGCAACGAGGGAGAAAGCGAGGAACCGACTGGGATGGACAGCAACGAGAGCGTGTACGAAGCGGAGCGGGTCGAGTTTGGTCGTGCTAGGACTGCCACAGCGGCACCGGAGCAGCGGCACCGGAGCAGGCGGACAGCATCGAACCGTGGCGCACGGACAAACACTTGTGTTGTCAAATATTTCTCCGTTTTTTCCTGAATACACAGGTGTTGGGTGTATGTCATGACGTCACTGGTTTTGTAGAGAGACGCGGCAGAGATGGCGCGGATAACCTGTGGGTACCTTAATTGTGTACCTGCATCGTGGAAGACCCCTTCAATGTGGAACGATTCCTAGTCAGTGTCGATGTTTACACTGCTGTGCCTAACACAGATGATCTGGATAGATTCGGGTGATTGTCAATTGCAATGATGGCTTTGGTTGGGTGTTCTCCTTCATTGTATGTCCACGGACTCATTATGACAGCACTTCAGACAGCAGCAGGATGCCCCGAGCTTGTGTACCATGCACCATGGTGTTATTTTTGTACAGACAGCACTTCAGACAGCAGTACGCTGTAGTCGACAAACACTCATTTTGGTTAAATGCGGGACAAGGGGGGTGATGCTGCTGCTGTAGTCGATTTGTAGTGTGTGGGCGTGTAGTTCAGTTGTGATCATGCAAACGTGCTGCAGGGATTGCAGGTGTACCTCCTCGGGCTTGCGTGCCCTTTTCTTGCTAATAGTGTGTGTGTTCTTTAGATCCTCTGATGGCTCTAGCGTTTTTGTGACCACGGACCGAGTCTTTGCTAGATTTTGGGATTAGCAACTGACACGAGTTTAATGTGAAGAAAAACAACAACAACAACAACAACAAACAACCCTAGTTTTGTTTTGTTTCCCCGCGGCGTCTTATGTGCCGGCTTTTTGAGACCACGGGCTCCCCGTATATTTGTGGACTTCAGAGCTAATGTGAGAAACAACAACAACAACAACAACAACATCCACCATGATGGTAATGGCACTGCTTCCATGATGATGACATTAGCTGCGGACGAGCTGCGAGATTGGTGCGGTTCAATTGGGAACAACAACCCCTTGGACTGAACGACAACATGGCGAACAACCTCAAAATTCAATTACACCCCAACAAGGCGACTTCAACCCACCCCTTCGACCCGGGGGCAGATGACGCGGAGGCAGAATTATAGTCTCGAACGGATAAACTTTCAGTGATCGGATGCTGCGACGACTTTGCCCTGTGGGCTGGTGTCCAGACATGAGCACAGCCAGCCCCGTCTGTCCACCAGGTGCACCCACACACCCACTGCTGTGCGCGGTCCTGCTGCGCTGCCCCACCGTGAAGCACGCACCGACGCACAAGAACGTATTTTCTAATCGCTTTTCCCTTCTCTTGTGGGCAATCGATCGTCGTAAACGTGCCGTTCCTGGTGCATACTCCAAGGAGTACAAAACAAAGTTTCTAAAACGCTGCTCTTCGCACTCGAAGACTACCTAACTCCGAGGAGGAATGTGTTTTTTGTATTTTATTTTTTCTCCCATCATTGGACTCTGTCGTCTGCCCCTCTGGCCCCCACCCTCCACTTCTACCAGCTAGACGACCCAACCGGGGTCACTTAGGAGGGGGGGTTGGACCCCCTCCTGTGGTTCCTGCCTGAGATATTTTTATCGCGAGAAGGGTACAGCAATCCCTTCCCTCGCGACTAATTAAGTCGGTCAACTTTACGAACAACGTGTCCACACGATTAGCATCCTTCTTTCTGCGTATGTACATATTTTTCCTAATCTTTCAACACGAAGAATGGCCGCAACCACACGGCGACTTAGTGTCCAAAAACAAAGCATTCGGTGCTTGATCATCATGCACACGAGATAGACGGTGCCCTCGCCTCCGCCGTCGCTGTACAATGGACCGTCCATTTTGATTGTACGCTGGAATGCGGGAATAGCATGGTTCGTGTTGCACGCGAACAGCAAGCTGTTGTTAAACATGAACACCTCCTGTACCTGCCTGAGTCTCAGTTCATGCCTCCCATGCTCCGCGCACAGACAGGCACCCGCCAAGCACCAAATTCCACTACGACACATCGGATTCTATCTCCCTCTACTGCACCAGCCTGCTCGGACAAAACTCGTAACCTCGCACCTGGGTCGACTGCAGGAAGCTGGAGATGGCCGCGACACTGGAGCCCGTAACATCTTCAGCGAGCGAGTCTTCCGGAATGTGGTCCAAGTGCTTGGACTCATCGAGAGGGTCAGCTGCCTTAGGAGCGTCAGCGGTGTCTCTCAGGCTGTAAGCCCGCTGCAATGGACCCATGGGCGGAGGGTCTGCCGCTGTGGTCATGGTCTGGTATGTCCTCCCCGCCAAGCTAGCCAGGCCTGACGTGACCCGTAGCTGATGAATGTGACGGTCCTTATGGACCTCGGTGTTCTTTTCTGTTGTGTGCAATGAGCATTGGATTGATCTTTGCACGACATTTTTTTTTTTTGTATTCCTTCGGATATGCCTTTGAGGCGGCGAGACATCCATGTTGATTTTTTTTTTGCGCGCGGCAAGCGGGCGGGGCGGCGGGGGCGTGTCGACTCTACTGCCACGGCGGTACAGCAGTCAGAGTCGCTTGCTCTCCTCGGCACTCTCCACCTCTTACTCCCTCTGCTTTCAGTGCTTATCCATACAGGAGGGCGAGACGTGCTTCGCATGGAGAATGACGACACGTTTGCACCACGACCGGGGACCAAGAGCACGTGGACGCATGTGAAAGTCTGCGGCACGAAGGCGAGTTATTTCAGAAAATAGCGGCGTGTTTCTTTGACCTTGTATCGCAGCAGCACACCAGGATCAGATAGCATAGTTACCAACTGGCATAGTTATGTGCAAGCATGGCAACAGCACCCGCGGTTGACGCTGCTCGTCTATTGCCTAATGGGAGCAGGCACGCCGCTTTGGTAGCGGTAGTGGCATGACACCAGCAAATCGATTGATCAACTTTTACCATTTGCTCCCCACGGCGGCGATCGCTGTATCGCTCTCCGTCCCACAACATCATCACAGAACCGGGGCGTTGTCCTGTTTTTCGTCACCTCTGAACCAGCCATGCGAGACTTCCGAGAATCAGCGAACCGCCCACTCCCACTTGACAGGAGCTGCACTTGCAGTTTTTGCCCTGGCATAGAAGAACGACTGGCCTAGTAGTCACCGTTCGACGGAGTCTGATGACATGTGATATCACGGAATGCAACCAACCGCTGCTGAGCAGAGGGTGAACTGGCTTTTATGAACGCTACAGCAGCAGCAACGTGATGCGGTGACGTTGCACCTTGTTCGAGCAGCACTGTGTCCGTGCTTTTAAAAGGCGTCGATTAGCATTGAAGCATCGTCTCTGGGCATGCGAATACATGCACCGCCTATGCATACGAAAGACAAGGAAGGATACGTTCGATGTGCTCTCTGGCATGCCGCCATGAAGCCGTGACCTTGCGGGAGCATAAGCCAACCTCAAACACCCGATCTAATTTCGAAGGCCCGCGTGTATGGGCATTGCGGGCCATATGCGTGCAACGGCAACTGTTTACCATCCTTGGTACTGCTGTAGCGGTATATTCTTCGCTGCGACGGGGACATCAGGAACTAGGTTACCCACCCTGACTTCTGGAGCGGTATACTCTGGCGGGGGGGGCATCAGGAACTAGGTTACCCACCCTGATTCCGATACCTACGATGCACGGAGCACCCAAATCTGTCATGTTTATTTACTCAAGCAGGTAAAAGTATCAGACCTGAGTACAACAACCGTCGTCCACAGTATCTTCTACCTTACGGCCTCGCCTCTCTGACTGAAGAGCTCCGATCCGGGGTCACACGAAATATCCTCTGGATTGCGTGGCTAAATTACTCGAGCCCGAGAATGCGTGTTGCGTGCATTATTCCCAAACCGAGTTGGTTTTGGAGCGGTCGAGCTTCGGTATCACAACTGCTGCTTCTGCGCTCACACCTGTACAGCAAATCAGGTGTAGTTGGCTTTGACACCGTCCAACAGCTTGGACTGGAGATGCGTTTGTGTAATAGTCAATGCCGACGTGTTCGACACTCAAGGCAAGCAAGAATAAGTGAGCACCCCTTCGCCTGCTCAGCCGGCAACACCCCGAAGTGGATGGTCCCGATTCAACCTTGGTTTTCGGCGCGAGGGGTCTACGGCGGTGTTGCTTGCCCCCTCAGCAAACTATGCGTGGTAGTTAGAACGACCCCCTTTCACCTTCGGCCTTTCCGCAATTGATACGAGGCGCTCTCACGCCCGTTTTCATCTCACCAAGCTAGCGGAAGGGGACAAATTTCCCATCCAACCCGAGTCTTGTTCTATGGAACGTCATTCACGAGTAACGTAGCCTCCCATACATGCCTGCGCGTCGCGAAACCGCCGCAACCGCCGATACCCGCAGGAATGGCACACGGCCGACTCTTCGGGCAACGAGACCGGGAATGCTGCTGCCGCTGATGCTGCCGGGGCGATTAATGATCCGTACGGGGAGGAATCCGGATCGTCTATCCACGGCTGCCTGGGCGGAATCGACGGTACGGGGAGGAATCCGATATTAACCCGTTCCGCAAGGATGTGTGGTTTTGTGGTGCCTACCCATGCGACTGCAACCCTCGCGGAATGGTGAACGTGGCGGGGTCCCCGCCACTGCATAAATGATCGTCTGCCGTTTGTGGTCCGATCGCCAGGAAGTAGAATTCGCAGTTGGTGTGTTTTTTTCATGAGATGTGCGTACGTGAGAGACGGCGATCAAGGCCAAGAAGCAGCAATGGCCACGGAACTGCCGACGACGGTCTCACTCCCCCCCCCGCATAGCTGCACAGCCATACCTGCAACGATGGCTTTTGTCGGAGCGGAGCAATTGGACGCGAAAGCGGCCCGCTGCCTTCCCCCCCCGCCCCCCTTCGTTCCTGTTTAACGAACCACCGACTTGAAAGCAGGGTTGAACAGATGAAGAACACGAAGAGTCAGTCCCCCATCCCCGTCACTTAGTACACACGCGGAAACCGTGAAGTTGCGAGGCGTTGGTATCTAAAGGGAGCGAGATCCCGCCTGCTCGACAACAAATCAAGTCAACACGCGTTTCTCGATCCGATGTCTTCTCTCCCCTTCCTTCCCACTCCGCCCTTTCCCCTGCTCGACGATGTAATAATATACCGTCCCGCTGTGTTCGTGACCCTCACCATCACCATCATCAACGTCGCCACCACGACCATCACCACCATCGACAACGACACCATCACAAACAACGGCACCTCCGTCATCAACACCAACGAACAACAACCGACCAGCGTCGAACAGCAGCATGAACGAGCGGAACCTCTTCCGGATGACCGACTCCCTCGCAGACAGGACCTTCTCTTTCGCGCCGGCGGAGACCCCTCCCGTCTCGCCCTCCCCCGCGGGCAGGGGCGGCGGCGGCGGCGGCGGCGGGTCCGGCCGCGGCTTCGGGAAAAAGGTTAGGTCGGTGTCGGACTCGTTCGGGCCGCAGCTTTCAGCGGGGAAGGGGTCAGGAGAAGGAAGTTTTGGAGGCGGCGGCGGCGGCGACGGTGATGCGGCGGCGGCAGCACAGATGCCGCTGCTCGGGCCCAAGAAGGCCATCAGCCAGAGACAGTTCTTCCGGCCCGTTTCGATGTCGTCGTCGGTATTCAAAGAGAGGTGACGGCACTGCTGCGAGGAATGCGTCGGGCGTTTATATGTGCACGCGGTTCTTGTTGTTGTCTTCACATTAAAAAACCGTTCCGTTCTCTTTACCCAGTACCTTCTGCTGTCCGTACTAGTCAATAACTTGACGCGGTCGATTCCCGTGGTCACAGGCGTGCGGCAGTTTTTTTTTGCTCACATGGCTATCTCCTCGCTTTTCTCTCTCGAACCGGTCGCAGTCGATGCCACTCAATTGCACACGTGGACCAGCTTGCCCGTGCAGGTCCTCGGACCCTGGCCCTCAACGCAAGAAGTGCTGCTGTTGCTGCTGCTGCTGCTGCTTATGCTTTCCGTCCTTTCTCCTGCCGCGTTTCTTTTTTTACTCGCCTCGGCGGGACCCTTGTTTATTTTACTTAATAATGTTCTGGTCCGGTATGGCGACAACGGATGGTGGTGGCACAACGACGACGACAACGGCAACGGCGGTTACCGGCCGGACACACACGAAAACACACACAACAACAAAAAATCGCCTCCAAGCAGCCCCATTCCAGATATTCTCCGACGGCGGCTGGCGGGGCAGGTGCGGCACGGGCTCTCGCAGGCCGAGTTCGCGGTGAGGCGGGACGGGAAGCTGTTGCTGGCGACGGTGGGGCTGCCCGCCCGAGGGAAGACATACATCGCACAGAGCATCAAGCGGCACATGGTGCGCGAGAGGGGGCGAGCAAAGACAAAGGGTGGGAGTGGAGCGGGGAGCGTACTCATGGGTTGCATGCCTTGGCTGACAGACCGTTTCCCACGCGTCCTGGAGGTGTGGGGGGGGGCAGGGAGGGGTTCCTAGGGGTGTTTGCAGCCATCTGTCTTGTCGCGGGTTTGTATGGACGTTGCAGCAGTGCCCCGCGGACGGCGATGGAATCTCTGTCAGGCTTCTTGCGCGGCGCGGCAGGGCCAGGCACGCGGTGGCGTCATGTTCCCGTCGGAGAGGCCTCACCTCGTTGCCGTTTTAGCAGAGACGCACCCAACTGTAGAAGATTAGAAACAAAACGTCTATGCGTTGGTGCGTTGGATGTCGTTTGTCGAAGAGTAACATCCATGATGCACCTCACATGCACTCTTCTTGCGGGTTCCTGCGAGCATGTGAGCCCCCCCCCCCCCC